GGTGCGGGGCGCCGACCGCATGTCCCCGTTCACCAGCAAGCGCGGCCCCCGGAGCTACAACAAGGGCCGCGGGGCCAAGAAGCTGGGCGTGTACACCTCCAACAGGAAGTTCATCCTCATCAAGGAGATGGTGCCCCAGTTCGTCGTCCCCGACCTGGAGGGCTTCAAGCTCAAGCCCTACGTCTCGTACCGTGCCCCTGAGGGCTCCGAGCCGCCGATGACGGCCAAGCAGCTCTTCACCGAGGTGGTGGCTCCCCACATCGAGAAGGACGTGAAGGCAGGCACTTTTGACCCCAACAACCTGGAAAAGTATGGCTTTGAGGCAACGCAGCAACGCAGGAGGGCAAGCTCTTCCAGCTCTTCCCCAAGAACTACGTGCGGTAGGGAGCGAGCAGTAGGGCTCCCAGGGCGCTGGGAAGAGCATCACCGTCGTGTGAGATGCAACCTGTACCAGCAAATACGGGACAGTTTCTGTCACTGGCTATTAAAAACAAATCCTTCCACGATGTCTTTCTGCAATGTCTGGTTTCGATTGCTCTGGGGAAATTGGCGGTTGGTTTCCCATCCCTGACTCAGGAGAGCGTTACTTGTGCCTCACGCTGTGCATGTAGTGTTGTGTAAGTGCACAGGCGTACTGCTCTCGGAGCAGAGATGATTGACCAGCACTGATCATTTCACTGCTGAAACATCATTCCTTTCTTCTGGGAAGAAGTGAGGATGAGTCTTATCTCCATGGGAGAGTCTGGAGTTTCCTGGCCGTGGAGAGCAAGCCGCTGCCAGCCCAATGGCGTTACCGCAGTCAGAGAGCGCTGCTGCTGCCGCTCACGCCAGGTGGCATTTGCAGCCAGAGAGGGAACACTTCGATGGATTCACACCCAGCACAAATGACATGTTCCACTAAACCAGGAGTGAGCCCTCCAACACGCAAAATCAAGTCCATACCCTAAACTCTCTGAGAACTGTAGCTTATATTGAATGCCACAATTTTTTCAGACTTTCCCAAGCCGTAAAACTAATCTTTCTTTTAGAGTAAATCAAGATACAGTTAATAGGTACATTTAATGTCTGTTCGTTAGCAGTGCAGCTGCTTGAAAGAACAGATGACTTTAAATTTGAAACATTATCTTGACATTTGTTAATTTTGGACATCTATTCCTAGCAGAGCAGTGTCTTGCTGTTCATCAAATTAAATGGGAACAAGTGACACTTACACAGACAGTCCTATGCAACTGTTCAAAGTAGAAACTGCTAAATTCTAAATGTCTTTGGAAATAACATGTTTTCTCTGACACCCAGGTGCTGGGGTCTTTGAGAAAATGATTCCTCCATGTGACAGTTCTGTGTCCGGGGACTGTAGCCCTCCCAAAAGGTATTTGTTTGTTTTCCGGGGTTTTTTTAATGAGGTTTTCCAAATACAGAGTACTGCAAAGCTTAAGGATTTGAGAATTAAACTGCAAATAAAATGTTCACTTTTGGAGAAAAGAATGTTTACTGTGTTCTCAGTGAGCATCCAGTCTGTCATGAAGACAGAAAAATGAATCCTTAAAGTGTTGTTAAAATAATATGTATTTTCAGGGCTGGAGGGGGCTGTGATGGCAGGGAGGGGATGCTGCAGCCCCAGATAACCACAAATGAAGGAGTTGTTTGCACACTGGCATAGAAGGTTCAAGAATCATCTCCATAGTTGGGGGGAGGGAAGGTGTGGTTTTCCTAATTAAGCCTGACCTGCATTTTTCACTTATTTTTAAGCTTCTCGGAATAATGGTTATGTGAAAGTGGTTGTTTTCTGCTGTCAGCTCTGGGTCCTGTTGCTGGCGGCAGAGGTGGTGCTTCACCCCTTCCTTTCAGGTGACGCTTTCTTGGGCTCCCTCTCACGCTTTCCAAAATAAAACCATCTCAGCTGGCTGGAGGGGGCAGAGGACAGGTGAACACAAGGCTGAACAGCAAGAGCTCCTATACCCTTGGATGCTAATACCAGCTTGGTCTTGAACAAGCCGCTTGCCTTCCCTACGTGAAGGCAGATTGTAACAGGGGATGACTCCTGTCTCAGGGCAAAGCAAGGACTAGCACAACACATATGTCAAGTGCCCCCATCTGGTCACATTCTGTGACACCACTCCAACTTCGCTGACCTCAGACTATTTCCTCTTAATCTCGCACGGCAATTAAAAAAAGCATTACAACCTATTAAGGCAGAGTCATAGTCAAAAGCCATGTTGCTACAGGGATACATCCTCCATGTTCTCACCAAGGCGTGAGGAAACTGGATTGTCTGCTCTGACTTTCAAAGAACATTTGCCACCACCAGACACCCTCAGAGGGACCGAGCCATCACGGGACAAGGTGGAAGGTCTGTGAGGGACTTTAAAACAACCAAGATAAATAACTTATATTGATTTTATTTTAGAAACATCCAAAAATAGGGTCGTTTTTCTTAACAAAAGCTCTTGTTCACAATACTAATATGAATCTTCATGTAACAGTGCTCAAGAATGTTTTCTAAAATACACATTCACCCTTGAAAAACTGAGTTTCAAAGCAGTAAAATTCTGATCTGCTGTACCTCATTTTAGATGCAGCACTGTTACAGATAGATAGATACTTGTTGCTGGTGTTTCTTTCCCTCCAAACAACTAATTCTTTAGGACCCTCAAAGAGAAACCATGCAAACTAGAAGTTACTTACCTAGTTTAAGCTGGTTTTTTGTTTCTAGGAAGATAATAGAGAAACTGTTCCAGAAATGGTGTTTTGCTGATATTTCACAGTGAAAAAAGAAAGCTAATGGAGCAACCATGAGAAATTCTGCAGCCATTCCTGGAGGTAGTTAGGGCAATGTTGTTAAGATTTTGGTTTCTGTACTGAATGTTTTTAAATTTTAAAAGATGTCAGGAAACACTGCTTATACTTTTTGGAGGTTTTGATCTTAAAGCTGTTCACCTTAAAAAACTGAAAGATCTTGACTTTGGAGCTAAATGTATGTCTCACTGTGGAGAGCAGAAAACATGAGTTTGATACCAAGAGGCAATGGCGGGTGGTTAAATGTGGCACTGAAACATAGCGGGGCTCGCTACACAATTTATACTAAACCAGGTTGTGCTCAGCTTGGAGAGTGATAAAGTGAGATTATAACAAGCTGACAAATCTGATGTAAAAATCAGACTGCGCAGACACACCAGAATCCATCCAAGAACAGCCTTGCTCAGAACAAAGCTTCCTCTCGCTGAACAGCTCTCTGTCATACCAGTCAGCCTGGCTTTCCTTCTAAAAAATAATTTCTCTCTACTAAAGACCGCTATGAGCGCATTCCGCTGCCAGTATCTGGACTGTCCTTGAGCGTCTCGCCAAAGTACATACTAGTTCACAGATCACACAGCAAGCTACACATACAGCTACGCCTCTACTCATGGGCTTTTCTGAGCCATTCAGGAAGAACTCTGATCACATCTTGTGTTTGTCTACACGTAGCAGTGTAGAGAAGTTTGGTTTGTGATGAAGGAGAACAGGCTTAGCAAATCAATCACAGAAATGCAAACCAGCCTTGAAGGGATTCAAATATAAGGTACAAACAAGTAGCCTTTGAGAAGGCGGCTGTCCTAATTTGCACTAGTACATTAAGAGAAAACTAAACAAACTTGTCTGTGCTTGACCACACCCCTCAAAGCAAAGGCCTTCTTCAGTGCTGAAAATAAAAAACATCAGTACCGGCCTTGAAAGACTCACAAACTCAACAATAAAACTGGAAAAGCCCAACAGAAATCAGACAGAGCATAAGCTCAGATGTTGCTCTTGGTACAGGAATTTTCCTACCCCTTTCCCTCAGGAGAGAGTCATTGCAAACTTTCAACTGTTCTTTCAGACAGAGATCTGGTATTTGGCGTCTCCGAAGGGGTCACCAGGCTCATCTCCCACTTCCAGACATGGAGGATATTGTCATAGAAAGAACAAGTTGCTACAATGCTCATTTCTTTTGGGCTGTCTAGAGACCTGGCTGAATCACCGCTTCTGTCCAGGCCCATTCCATTGGATCTCTTTGCTCCCGAGTCAGAATGGCTGGCTGACTCAGGATCTCCCCCTCGGTCTGGACCCCCAACCAGATCTAAACTCCTCTTTAAAGCAGAGCCCCCAACCAGGTCAGGAGCCCCAGACAGCTTAGGACCCGCCTCTGCTTTGAGCGGCAAGGCAGGGCCTTCACTCTCCTCATCCAGTATTACATCAAAAGTAGCTGTAGGAGACTCATAAATTATCTTCAGGTTTTGGACCTGGAAATTCAGTCTCTCGTCTCCTTCTTCTGCTCTTCCCACAAGCTCCTCCGAAGACTGGCACACAGCAGAGGAGTCCTGTGTTGCAGTCAAGGAATCCCTTGGACACAACCTTGACCAGTCAGCCCCGTAGGCCAAGGAATTGTGCAAGACATAGGATGACAGGATGATACATTCTTCCATGTTTTCCGCTTTAAAAAAAAAAAAAAAAAAAAAAATTGAAACAAGCAGAAATCAAGTTGCAAAATGGTTTGCTGCAGGCTGCTCAGAAGCAGCTGGCTGTGTCCTACAGGAAGAGTTCTCTGGTTGTTACCTTCTTCACAACAGAGTTAAGTGTTCTAGGAGAAATGAGGCGCTGCCTCTCCTGACAATTTTTCAGCCACCTCTCACTAGCCTTCATTTTCCCTGGTTCAGTAAGCAGATCAGTGCATGAGGTCTAAGAGCCTCATTATTCAAAATACGTAAAAAGGCTTAAGAAAGACAAGATCGATCACAGTGATCCCCACTGAGCCATAAGTCCAGCTGGTGAGATTGCCAGACCAGGTTCTGGTTATTAATAAATTGCAGATGCTTTCTTCCCATAAGCTTTCAGAGTCAAATGCTTACTCTGATATTAAATGGACATCAAGGTCCACCCTTCCCCATACAACAGAAATGTTATCCTCATTTCGCAAGCTGTGGATCTGCCCAAGGCCTAGAGAAACCCAGGAAGGCAACCATTTTATGCAAGATTGTATTTGTAATGTAAATGCAAACAGCTTTTAGTCATGTAAATACCTTCTGATTCACATGGAGAGCTTATTCATGTCATTCCAGATTAACCAGACTGCACAGCACTTCCTTTCTGAGGCAATAACCAATTCACCAGCAGGTCACTAACTTCTGCTGACAGTAAAGCATCACCTGACATTTGGAAGAACCTCTGAACCATCAAGATGAATGCAAACTGGAATGGTCATGTCAACAGGTAATGCCTTCACACCAAAAGAAACAGGCTTTCTTCCCATGAAAAGAAGTTACGAGAGATTTACACACAAATAATGAGAGTGCTTTTGCAGAACCAATCAGGCCAATGGTGAGGATAGTTCTGGGAAAGCCAGAAGAGTTACCTCACGTTGGAGTAAA